GTGCCAGCCCCAGTGCCAGCCTGCAGAGCCCCCTGCCCTCCAGCTCAGCCCTGCTGTGCCTGCATGCACCAAGCCCTGCTGCCCACACTCATCCACACCATGGGCAGCCCCACAAGAGGTTCTGCCCCAGGGGAAGGGGCAGGACAGCTGCCCCTCCTGCACAGCCCCATTTCTGGAAGGAAAGCAGAACCCTGACAGCACCCGAAATAGCAGGAGCACACACAGACCCTGATTGCCATTAATTAATTAATTTAATTTTCCCCCACCATCCTGCCTAATTTACTAACTGGGCCACCAAGGAGGAGAAGGTGAGGAGTGAGGAGAGCTCAGCTGCAGCTCACTGGGCTCAGACTCCCTGCAGGATCCCCGTGCCTGGGCCAGGCTCCAGCCCAGACACCACTCACACAACAGGGAGGGACAAACCCTGATCCTGGCAGCGTGAGGGCTCCAGCAGCACTGAAACCCACAGGCCCCAGCCTTTATTGCCACCCCAGGCTGGTTCTGCAGGGCTGCTGCTGCTTGCTGAGCCTGTCTCAGCCCGTCGGAACACGCCGCTCCGCAGCGCAGCGGAGCCCACGCTCCAAACTGGGTGCTCGGAGCTTTATATACCTCATGGAAATGTGCTCTGTGCCATTGATTTACCCACAGCCTGGTTTTACACGCTGTTCCAGCACAAAATGGCGAGCCACGCTCCCTGCTCACGAGGTGCTTTCAGTTTGGGTTCGCTCAGAGTGACAGTGGGATTGCAGATAACGCCCAGGAAAGCAGATTTAAATCAAAATCCTGTTAAATATGCCAGATGCACGGGGGGAAGAGTAACACACAACGCACAGTGTGAGATGTCGGGGCTGCACGCCAGGGAGAGGCTCTGCCTTGCCCAGGAGCGAGGTTTCACTGCAGCCAGGTGCCCACAGGACCCCAGGGCAGGATGGAGACCTGTTCTCATCTCCATTCCCCAGCAATGGGGAAATCTCAGCCACCCCACTCTGAACCACAGCCAAACACAGCTTGGATGGCATCCCTGATCCCTGAAAGGGCTGGGGGAAGGGGCTTCCCTGCCGGGCTCAGCAGCTTCTCCACTGACAAGCACAAAGCACTGCAAACTGAGACCTTGACTGATTGAGGTTGTCAGCTCCAAACTCAAACACGTTAAGGATCATCTAAATAAAATCCCCGGTTTGAAGGAGGAGAGAGAAACCCCGCTTGTGATCTGAGCAGGGCTGGTGGCTGTGCCCAAAGCCAGAGCACACCCCAGAGCCACCCAGCAGCTCTGAAAACCTTTTCTGGGTTTCTAGGTTGGAGAGGCCTCAAATAACTCCCCCGTGCCGCGGCCCCCCTCCCGCAAACACTTCCAATGCAGCGGGAGCTGCTGACCTAATTAGCAGTGTCAGCACGTGGGGCACAGCCCTGGGCACTGGGAGCCTGCCAGGACGTGCCACGGGGCCAGGCTGGCACAGCCAGGGCTCCTGGGCACCCCTGGTACAGAGGGGCTCAGCCAGGGACCGCCCCCCATGGTGGGCACAGGAGCGGGGATGGAGGCACAGAGGGCAGTGCCCATGACAAAGCCACCCTGCCATGGTGGGTAGTGCCCATGACAAAGCCATCCTGCCATGGTGGGCAGTGCCAAAGCCACCCTGCCATGGAGGGCAGTGACAGTGCCAAAGCCATCCTGCACAGAAAGGCAGAGAGGGCACACAAAAAGGCAGGGAGGGCACACAAAAAGGCAGGGAGGGCACACAAAGAGGCAGGGAGGGCACACAAAGAGGCAGGGAGGGCACAGAGCCCTGCCACCTCCCCAAGGCCAGCACGGTGACAGCTCAGGGATGGAGACCAAGGAGCAGCTGAGAAATGCTGAGCCCTGAGCTGCAGGAGCTGCAGGAGCACACAGGGCTGTCAGAGCAGGTGGAGCAGCTCCAACCCAGCCTGGCTGGGAATTGAGTTCAGAGCTGCCATCCCAGCCAGGAACGTGCAGACACAGGGAACACGAGCCAAGGGCTGAGCTCCACACAGAAACCATCACTCCAGACCATTCCTGGTGTGTTGGGCACCCACCAGGCTGAGCCAAGCACCAGCCCCAGGGACAGGAGGGGACCCTGAGCAGGCAGGAGCTGCCCTGGGGTCACCAGCACGGCCCAGCTCTGAATTTTGGGGCCAGAAAGCCAAGGGGAGTACATGGCAGGCATGGTGGCACCCAGAATCAGGAGGGATGCAGAGCAGGGAGGGCTGTGCCCACTGCAGCTCCCATGCCAAGGAAGGGTTGGGCAGGAGCAGTGAGAAAAGAGAAAGGAAAGGTCAGGGAAGGGAGAGGGAGGTGCTGGATCGATGCAGCAGCCTGAAATACCTGGGAGGAGCAAACACAGAGAGAAGGGAGGATTTGCTTAGGCAACCACGGGGGAGAAGAGCTAGAAATGGGATAGGGTAAAAAAGAAGTTGGGTTGATGAGCAGGGGAAGGGCATCGGAGCAGGCAAAGCTGCTGAAACCCCAGCACACACACAGAGGCAAAATGAGGGATTCTTTTCCTCATTCCCAAATGAGGAAAATTCACAAATTNAAACAACAATCAGCCTGGGGGAACCAAACAATCAGCTTCTCCTGTGCAGCTGACTCATCCCTTTCCTCCCCACCAGGGTTTCACTTCTGCCAGCCCCAGCACTGGGCCATGTGCTGATAACTCACCAGCCCCGCCTGGCACTGCCAGGGGCGATTTTCCTTTGTTTATAACACACCAGGTAAAGGGAGCAGCAGAGCTTCCCAAGGCAGCCTGGCTGGGGCTCCCAGCTCATGGTAACCGGTCCCATCAGGCTGGGCAGTGGCCACGGAGCCTTCCAGCAGGGACACAGCACTGGGGTGCACCCCTGGGATGTTGTGTGCCCCCCACAGCCCCCCTGGATGGGGCCAGGGCTGGGGCTGCGCCAGGACATCCCAGTGAGTGCCCACGAGCTGTACTGGTGGCACTGGTTAATTCAGAGCTGTAGTGGTGGCACTGGTTAATTCAATGCTGTACTGGTTCATTCAGCGCTGTACTGGTGGCACTGCTCAATTCAGAGCTGTACTGGTTAATTCAATGCTGTACTGGTGGCACTGGTTAATTCAGAGCTGTAGTGGTGGCACTGGTTAATTCAGGGCTGTACTGGTTCATTCAGCGCTGTACTGGTGGCACTGGTTAATTCAGAGCTGTAGTGGTGGCACTGGTTAATTCAATGCTGTACTGGTTAATTCAGGGCTGTACTGGTTAATGCAGAGCTGTACTGGTGGCACTGGTTAATTCAGGGCTGCACTGGTTCATTCAGGGCTGTACTGGTGGCACTGGTTAATTCAGGTGCCCCCCAGCATCCCTGCAGGACCCCCCAGCCCAGGCCCAGGCCAGGTGGGGACCCTGGGAGCTGTCACCATCGCAGGGAAGGTGACACCCAGGCTCTGCACACCTCTGCCACTCGCTGGCAGCCCCAGCCAGGCCACATGGGCCTCGCAGATGCTCATTCACAACCCTCCCTCCTCCTCCTCCTCCTCCTACCAGCACAGGTGGTGAGAGAGAACCAGCCTGGGCTGTCTGCTCCTCATGGCAGGGATGGAGGCAGCAGAAAAACCCCATCAAAGGCAGCAGAAGGCTGGAAAAGCCCTTCCCAAGGCAGCAAAGGCTTTCAGAAGTCTGTCCTGTGTCTCTGCACCCTCATTGCTGCAGCTCCCCTTCCTCCAGCAGCACAAGCTGTCANCAGGAGGCACGGGCAGCACTTGACACCAAAGGGATGCTGTAGTCACTGTCCCCCCACCAGCAGCACCCCCAAAACCATCCCCAAGCAGCCCCCTTTGGGCACTGGGTGCAGCAGGGACAGCTCCAGGGCCCCTGGCATGGCTGGGGCCTCACCTGAGGCGTAGCTGTTTTTCGGTGCCACGTTTTTGCGAACTGGGAGTGTATTGGAGTAAGAGTCACTCAGCTGCTTCTGAGGCTGGGGAGGAGATAAAGATTTGGGCTGTGCTGGCTTCATCTCAGACCAGTGGTTGTACCCGTCGCTGTCAGAGCCCGAGACTCCGTTCATCACCGGCAGGGCCTCCTGTGCCGACATGCGCTGCGAGACAGGAGGGGAGGGGGACACGGAGGCTTCATTAGGGCATCCTGCAGCTCCAGGAACATCCCCCTGCAGCTCAGGAATATCCCCCTGCAGCTCCAGGGATACCTCACTGCAGCTCAGGGACATCCCTGCAGCTCCAGCGCATCCCTGCAGATCCAGGGCAATCCCACTGCAACTCAGGGACATCCCTGCAGCTCCAGAGCACCCCTGCGGCACCAGGGAAATCCCACTGCAGCTCCAGAGCATCCCCGCAGCTCCAGGGCAATCCCACTGCAGCTCCAGAGCATCCCTGCAGCTCCAGGGCTATCCCAATGCAGTGCCAGAGCATCCTTGCAGCTCCAGAGCATCCCTGCAGCTCCAGGGCAATCCCACTGCAGCTCAGGGACATCCCTGCAGCTCCAGAGCATCCCTGCAGCTCCAGGGCAATCCCTGCAGCTCCAGGGCATCCTGGCAGCACCAGGGAAATCCCACTGCAGCTCCAGAGCATCCCTGCAGCTCCAGGGCAATCCCTGCAGCTCCAGAGCATCCCTGCAGCTCCAGGGCAATCCCTGCAGCTCCAGGGCAATCCCTGCAGCTCCAGAGCATCCCTGCAGCTCCAGGGACACCCCACTGCAGCTCCCCAGCAGGACACAGCTCCAGAGACAGAGGCAAATCAGAGCTTTGTCCTGTTGGGTTTAGTTCCAGCCAAACCAAACTGCTCTGGGAGGAGCAGTGGAGTCTCCTCTGTGGTATCTTATTGCTCTGAGCTCCCATAACCTGACAATTTCCTGCTGAGCTCTGTGCTCAGCTCGTGTCCTCACACCAGTGGGACACCCTCTTCTGAAGGGTCCTTCATCCCAAGGGTCACTCCAGGCCTTTCCCTGCAGTTTCTGGGGTACCTGGGTTCAGTCCCACAGCTCAGGGACCAGCCTGGACAGGCAGGTCCAGCTCCTGGGCTCCCCAAAGGCGCCTGGGATCCCTGCTCTGCAGAGCTCAGTGGGATGGGGTGGGACAGGCTGCCCGTGCCAGGTCAGGCTCCTCCCCACACCCCAGGATGGCCCAGAGCTGCCATCCCTGCCACCAGTGCCAGCCCATCCAAGGACAACTTGCCGAGGACAGCGGTGACACCGGCCCGGGCTCGTCCCTCCGCCTTTGCTCAAAGGGCAGGGCAGCTCCAGCACAGGGATACTTACTCCTACAAAAGGTGCCAGCTCCGGGGGGACAGGGAGAGGTTTGGCACCAGGGATGGGATCAGAGATGATGAGGTTGGACTTGGATGTGGACAGAGGGCTGGGCATGATGGTGCCATTGCTGCTGGCAGCCATCTGCTGCATCAGCTGGATGGCGCGCTCCGGGATCTTGTTGGGGTCCGAGCAGGACTGCTGCCACAGCGGCAGCTTCTGCGTCAGCATCTCCTTCCCCTGCAAAGCAAACCAGGTGTGAGGGCACAGGGTGCAGCTGCTGTGCCCCCCTTCCCTGGGCAGCACCACACGCAGCCAGGGCTGAGCTGGGACCGATTGATGGCTCTGTGCATGGCACAGGGAAGGTAACACCCAGGGACACCCTGCTCCAGGCTCCAATGGCAGCAGGAATCATGAAAAATGGCAATGAGGGAAGGGAAAGGTAAGCCAATCTCTCCCCATCATGATGTCCTGTGTGCAGCATCTCCAGGCTGCAGGGAGTTGGGCCCCACGTAGAGCAGAGAAATAAATAAAATAAATAAAACCAGGCTGAAAGCATGGCAGGGCACAGCCCGTGCTCCAGGCTGTCCCCACATCCCCAGGGATGAGCTGCTTCCTTGGGGGGCTCAGCCCCAGCAGCCTGCAGGCCCCTGTGCTGCATCCAGCCCCACTGCTCCCTGCCTGCAGCACCATGCTCCAAGGGGCAAACACATGGAGCCAAACTTGTCCTTATTCCCCCAGAATGTACCAGCACATCCCCCTGTGTCACTCAGAGGGGGGAAGATGTCCTAGCCCCCTCGAGGGCACTCCCAAGGGTGACCCGATGTCTCTGCTCTGCCTCACCTCGATACACAGTGGGGTTCTGCATATCAAAATCCCCCTTTAAACCCAATTTCAAAGTCCCTGCATATTTCCCCAACACCA